CATAATGCCAGACATTCGCGCGATCGGATGGCATTTAAATTTAGAAAATAAGATACAACTTAACGCTTTTTTAACTACATAAATGGGCTCTAAATGGGCTCCATTTGGGCTAGCGCTTGAATACAAATTTGTATTCAAGGGCTAACCCACATGGGGCCCATATTGAGCCCATATAAAAAGCCCACATCGAGCCCACTTGGGCAAACCCATATGGGCTCCAATAGGACATGTTCGCTCGGTGGTATTAAATTTGAAATGAAATGAGTTTTAAATAAGATCTTGAAATAACAAATTTATTATTTGAAAATTTTGTGGGGTATCTTTAAAATATTTTGATAAAGTAAGAGTAAAAGGTATTAGGAGACAAACAATGTTTTCATTTAAAACATGAACAGCATAACTTGGTATATATTAAGTTTAGAAGTTGTTCATAAATTACGTCACGCAATTTTTAACCAATTTTGACTCCATCTCCTCCCCCCACCTTGTCACAAAATTTTTGGACGACGCCTTATAACATTGAGTACATAGCAGAGTTGTTAACAAGGCCAAGGCACGCGTTACAAGACCTATGCCAAGAATTAAAGGTCAAGGCCAAGATTAAGAGTTTCAAGTGCAAGGCCTACGCAAACATTTTCAAGACCAAAGATCTCAACATTTTAAGGCCAATTGTTAACACAGCTGTAGGTAGCAAGTGCTGTGACAATAAAACCACATTTTGTAAAAATAGACCAAGGTTATAGGTAAAATTCAAAAAAATCAATAAAAAAAAAATATATTTTTTTAAAGGCCAAGGCCAAAATTTTCAAGGCCAAGGCCAACAATTTCATAGCCAAGGCCTTAATATTTGGACTTAAGACAAGACCAAGGTCAAGGCCAAGGCTAAGGACTAACAACTCTAGTACATAGTTCCTTCAGAAAAGATTCTCCGTTAACAATTCGGTTCTGTTTTTGTTCATCATAAATTTTTTTAAGTTTTCCATAGTTGGTACTTCCCCATTTTTCTCTATATTTAATGAAAGTTTATTACTTTTAATCCTCTCAATAATTTTTGATAATTCTTCATTATTTTAAATAGATCTTTTATATTATTGTTTGAGTAAAAAAGATTAGAATCGTAAGCAAACAAAATAACTTTTAAAGTTTTGAATGCTAAATATAATATAAATATAATATAAATATAAATTATTTATAGACAGTAGGAAACGCAAGTTTCACTGCGAACAGACGTGTTTTAAGAGCTTAAAAACTTAACTCCAGCTTAAAGAAATCCTTGAAGAATACTATGATAAAAATTTTTAATGATCGGATTGAAAAAAATGGAAATTAAAAATAACTTAAAGGATTAAAACTTTACGTTAAGAAAAGCATTATCTGAGGTACAGAAAGCTGTCGAATTATAAGTAAAAGCTTTGATAAAATAATAATTGAACTTACAGAAATAAACAAAACAAAGTCAATAATGACCAGTTCGAAGTAATATTGAAAATGGAAACAATAACATAAATGAGAAAATAGCAAAACTAGAAGACAGAAGCCGTAGAAACAATTTGAGGTTTGTTGGGATTGAAGATAAAGCTAATGAAACTTGGGGAGAAAGTGAACAAAAAATTCCTTAATGCAAAGCTTTTTATACAAGAAAAAATTATAATAGGTAGAGCCCATCGAGTTATTAAAGAAACAGAAAAAATCAGATCAATAGTTGTTTGATTTCAAAACTACAAAGCTTTGTAACGAGCGGTTGTACGTTAACGAAGACTTTAGCGACTTTACAATGGATTTACGAAGAAAGCTTTTCAAAGAAGCAGGTAAGTATGAGGTAAGTATGGTAAGTAACTTAAAATAAATTAATAACGCGTGACCTATAATTATAAAGGAGTTCTTTTAATATTCTATAATCAAATTTAAAAAGCAAAAATGGATGACTGCAAATCCCTAACTTTGATTTTTCACAACAAATACTTAAAATCAGATCTTAATATAGATCCAGAACTTTTTTTAATGATGTGAGCACATTTTGTTCTTATCTTTATCCCAACGAATTAAAATTTTTTTTTAATAAAAATGACGTAAAAAATCAAAAAATCAGAATCCTTCACATTAATTTTAGAAGTCTCAATAAATATTTTGAAAAATTTTGTAATTTTTTAGATGAAACTGAAAATATTTTTAATACAATTTGCTTAACAAAAACATGGATTTCTTCGAATGAAGATGGAAAATAATTCTATTTTCTATCTTCAAGGTTTTGAAAAAATTTCTTCAACCGAATCCTCGATCCCAAATACCATTTAATAGACACCTAGACAGTCATTTTAATTTTAAAAACCTATAATTTTTAAAGTTTACAAAGATCGTTATTTTTGCTTTACTTTGCTGTAATATCTTGCATAACAATATAGTGCGACTGTAATTGCAGAGCAACTAACATAGGGTAAAACTGTTTTTTAAATATCTAAGTTCATTTTTCGGACAAGTTCCAGCTGTTTGATAATATGGTATGGTCCGTTAGTCCATTTTTGTGTTATCTAAACATTTTTTATTAATAAAATTATTCATAGACTCAAGTAAAAATTATCAAAGTAAACAAAAAAAAGTTCTTACCTTAGTTTCAAACCATAATACAGAGTATACACGAACACAGAACTGTACAAGGTGTTTTAATTTCTCAGCATTGCTTCCATTTAGTCCATGGTGTGAACACCAGATTCTGCAAAGCCTACTTGCCAAGTTTAACCAGCATGCTTGATTGTGGGGACCAACTTGAATTTCTTTTAAATCATCTTGCATTATTTTATCTTTAACAACTTTTGTTATCCGGTATAGATATCTTTGATAACTAGATAAATTTTTTAAAGTACCTTCATCGATATCTTATAAATCAATTTCAATATCTATAGATTGAATACATTAGTGGAAATTTTGAAATTGGCACTAATGTATTCAAATTGGCAATTGGCAATAGGGACAAGTTTGCCCAATATTGCCCGAAAACGTATTGTTTGATATTGTTTTTCCATCATTAACTGACATTAAGTGCCTCAAAGGTAATTCATTTGTGCGCAAGGCACAAGCTGTCCAAATAAGTTTGGTTTGAAGTTTATTTTCTTAAAAATGAATAACACCTCTTTTCCAGCCTAATAAAAATACTTATTTAAATATATGCATGGCATTTAACATCAAATATTTACCTGCATTTATTATCAAACATCTACCTGTATTTAGATTGGTTGAATCACAGCCAACAGCAGCTAAAGTGGATTCTATACCATGTTTTATCCAATTATATGAATGTTCTGCTCTATGTTCTGCTGGGGTAACAAACTCAGATTTGTTTTCTTTGTCATTTGTAAAATGTTACAGATTTAAACCACCTGGCTCTGCACAAACTGAATAATGGTCTTTTTTTACAAGTCTGTGGTGAAATTTTCCATTTTCTCTAATCAAAAAAATTTTTGTCTCATCCTTTCTCCGATCAAACATTATACATTGAATTTATTTCTTTTTACCATATCACCATTTTCAGAATTTAATTGCTTCATCACCTTCAATTTACAGCGTTCAATTTTCTTGTGATCTGTTACTGTTTCACTGTCAGCCACATTCTTTTTAAAAAAGCCTGCCTCTTTAGCTGCTTGTGTTAGTGTTAAAATTGCAGCAGTTGCTCTATTTGATACACCATATCTTAATGATGCTAATGCAACTTCTTTCATATTCAATGACTTTTCAGGAACTTGTCTGCTTATGTATTTAGAATTTTCTTCGCTTTCAACATTTTCATTGTCAGAACATTTAAAATTTTGGATTGGCTCTTTAGTTTTTTTTTCATGAGAATAAAAAGATAGGTATTCTATTTGTGACTTCTTTTATCCAATTTCCTTCCTTTTATAATTTTTTTCTTGTCTGTTAGCTTCTTTAAAATTTTGAGCACCCATTTGCATATAACCTTTTGTCCCAAATTTTTCTCTTTGAGATTTCATAAAGCGAAATTCTATTCTGGGAATTTTGATTTCTCTCTTGCATTGACAAGAGATATGAGCTTTAAAAACATATGAACTACAACTTGCCTCCTCACAAGAAACAATGTTACACTTGCACTGATCTATATCAAATAGCTTGTCCAGATCAGAGTTAAACTCAGAAATGGTTTCAATGTTGAACCTGAAGTTAACAATATCTGTAGCTTTTTTCCATAATCTAACTATTTTATTTATACCGACTTTTTCCGTAACAATTGGAATTTCAGGATTTCTTTTCAACACTGGTGTTTTCACTTAAAAAAAATCTTTTTGCATGTATCTTTAAGTTTTGCATTTGCTTTACAGTTAGTTATCTCTTTTTAGAAGCAGACCGTATTTTTAATAAAGAATCTAAAAATTCACTTGCAAAACCAATCATAAAACTTAATTTGCAACTTTGACTATTTTTAAGTGTTCGTTTAGCAATAAAGAATTCATAATTTATACTAATTTATAAATAATATTTATCGTGAACTTAACGTTTCAACTCAAATGCAGCATTTCAAATGCATCATCTTTACCTCATCATCTTATGAATTTCTCTAGTTATTTTATATTTAGATTATTAAATAAATTCAAGTTTAAATAAAATATTTTTTCGTAACAACGCAAGATATTATAGCAAAGTATAGCAAAAATAACGATCTTTGTAAACTTTTAAAATCATAGGTTTTTAAGCTAAAACGACTGTCTAGATGTCAATTAAAGGTTATTTGGGATCGAAGATTCGATTGAAGATGTTTTTGAGTCAATCTGAAAAACCGGTCAAAAGTTGCGTCCAACCTCGTATACCGCATTTTTTTACCCAAAACCTCGGTTTTTGAGGTTCAAATTTGAAAACCTAAAAATTAAAGTTTTCATTTTTTTTTTTTTTTTGCATTAGTTCTTCATAAGGGCTAACACCTTTCAAAATATATATGGCCTAAGCAATTATAGTCAAAAGTTGAAAAATGACCCTCCCTATTGTACATATTATTAGAAATGTGCGTTTCTGACGGTGATGAAGAAATCGTAACTATTGAAATTTTAAAAAATAAAAAAAAAAGCTGCTATTATAGACTACCTGATAGTGCGTCGGAAAATCTTAGTTTCTTTTTACAGCAAAATATCATTCACAATGGCAAATGATATTTTGTTTTTGAAAACACAAACTGTTTAATTTATGGTAAAGATAAAAAAGTAAAAAGTTTTTATGATGATATATTTATGGTAGGAGCTCTTCCTTAAATCAATCGCCCCACTAGAATAAACAAAACTTCAACGACGTTGATTGATAACATTTTTATAACAGATATTTATAATAAGAAATTAAAAAAAAAGAATTATAAAAGCCCACAAATCCGACCATTTTCCCATTTTTTTAAATTTTTTTTTAATTTATTTAGGTACCCCAAAAAGTCCTCACGGTCTTATCACCGAGCACCGCAGATGAGCATTTAATTGGAAGTTCACGCCTCCTTCCAACCGATGTCGCAAAACGTGGCCAGAGGTGGGTTTGAACTACGGATCCTTTGCTTCTGAGCAGGCAATTTGTTTTCTATAGAGATTATTTTCAAAATGAAAAATTAGTTGACAAAAAATGTGGTCCACAGGGTTCTATTCTAAGCCTACTTTTGTTTTTAGTCTATATAAATGATTTAAATAAAGCTTCTATCCTTATAAGTCATGTTTGCTGATCATGTTTGCTGACGATACTAATTTATTTCTGTCAAACTATGACATTTATGAGTTTTTTTTTAAATATAAATAAAGAATTCAATTATATCTCCAACTGGTTTAAGTGCAATAAGTTAACTTTAAAATTTGATAAAATAAAATGGATCCTTTTCCGCTCCTTTGCAAAAAAGAGTTTTTTACCAAATAATTTACGTAAACTTTTTATGGATAAAATTGAAATAAAAAAAGGATGTAACAAAATTTTTTGGTATTTACATTGATGAAAATATTACATGGAAGTGTCATATCGACTTTATTTCTACTAAATTGGCTAAAAGTATTGGAGTTCTATATGCAGGGGCGGATTATAACTGAGGCAACTGAGGCACGTGCCTCTGGCCCCCGAATCTTTTGGCCCCCGAATTTTGTTAATATTTAAAATCAGTAAAACTGGGTCATAGCGCACACTTATCAGTAATAATTAAACAACTTTTTTATTCAAATTTTTTTATTTTTTATTTTTTCATTAAATAGAATAAAAAACTACATAAGAATATATAAACGAATAGTGAAAATAGTTAAAAGGTGTTTGGTTTGACCCGGTTTTACTCTACCTTTTTTTAAATTTTTAATATTTAATTAGTTATACGTCCATCATCTAGTTATACGTTCAACTCAACTCAGCAGAGAGTTGAAGTTCGCTGCAGTGACTTCCACGAAAGCGGATTCTTTTTACAACGACAAAACTAAAAACAAACAAAAATTAATGAAATTTTAGAATACAAAAAAATGAAGTTTTAGAATAAAAAAAAAGAAAATGTAAAAAGATACGTAAATAGACAGATTTCACAGCACGGACCTGTGTGTGCATGTTTATATTGGTGTTTTCTCCTTACTTTTATTGTTTTGTTTGTCTAATTGTCCATTGTTTTTCTCCTACTTTTTGTATTTTTATTTATTAGTTTGTTATGCCTTTTTATTAAAACTATTTTTTATTAACATTCATTGTTGATTGTTTACTTAATTACATAAATGTTTTGTTTATTATGTTTGTTTTTTTTTAAGTTTTGTTTGTTTTAAGTTCTTTTGTTTTATAAAGTATTTTTTTATTTTGAATGATTCTAAGTATTGGTTATCTGTTCTTCGGCGGACAGTGGGTGTGGTGAAGTTTTTAGCTGAGCGTGGTTTGCAACTTTGTGGACATGAAGAGAAAATTGGTTCAGTACACAATGGTAACTTTATGGGAATCCTCGAGTTATTAGCTCTTTATGATTTTTTTTTGGTTACACATATTGATAAGCATGGCAACCTAGGCCGTGGCAAAACATCATATTTATCTTCTACAGTCTGTGATGAACTTATTAATTTGATGGGTCAAAAAGTACTTTTGTTTATTGTTGATGAAATAAAAAAAGCAAAATACTGTAGTGTGTCAATTGATTCAACACCTGACTTATCGCACGTCAATCAGTTGTCTGTGACAGCTCGTTATGTAAACAAAGTTGAACCAATTGAGCATTTTTTGGCCTTCATTAAGTTTAAAAGTCACACTGGAATTGGATTATCAAATGCATTATTGGAGTTCTTAGAAAAAGATAATATTGACATTGGCAACTGTCGTGGTCAGACGCATGATAATGCATCGAATATGTCTGGATGTTAGAATGGTGTTAAAGCTCATATTTTATCTGTTTGTAGTTATGCTATTTACACACCTTGCTTTGCTCATTCATTAAATTTAATTGGCAAAAACGCTGTTGGTTGTTGTAGTGCCGCAGTTGGTCAGACACACGTTGGTCAGCACATGCTGATGCAACAAGTGCTTTGCGAAAAGGTTACAAGAATATTCAATACGTTCTAGATATCATGGCAGCTAATGAACTTACAAAGGGTGAAACTCGACAAAAGGCGCTTTGACTAGCAAAACGTCTTGGTGAATAATAAACTGGTACTTTGACTGTATTTTGGGACACAATATTGCAAAGATCTATGAAACAAGTCTAGCTTAACAAGTTTCCACTTTAGATTTAAATAAAGCTGTTGGTTTGTTGCATTCATTATGTGAGTATGTTCAATTGTTGAGATGTTCGAATTTGATAAAGTTGAAAAATACGGAAAAAAGTTGTCCAAATGTGAAGTATATAAAAAAGATGTCGAAAGAGTTAAAAAAAGAAAGCAACTGTTCGATGAATGTACTTCTAAAGAAGTTCTCCTGCTTGCAAAAGATGAATTTCGACTTAATGTGCTGATTCCTATTATCGATCAATTAAAAACAGCATTGGCTCACAGATCTGCCGCATATTCAGATGTGGCCAGCAGATTTGGTTTCATGAACAATTTGCAAACATTGACTCGTATGGAAGTGATAAAACATTGTGATACTTTAGCAGCACATTACTCCAATGATATTGAAGTCAGCTTGGGGGAAAAAATGGTTCGATTTCAGTCTTACGCAGTCACACAAATGAATTCCGATGATACAAAAACAAGCAAAGAGAGGTTGATATCCCGCATTTTGCTCAATGACGGTTTGGTTGAAAATTATTCCAAATGCTGCAGTAGCTTTTAGAATTTATCTTAGCCTAATGGTGGCAAATTGTACAGGAGAACAAAGTTTTTTCCAATTAAAGCGTATAAAAAATGAATACCGTACTAGAATTAATCAAGAGCAGTTCAATATGCTTTCTTTGATGTGTATTGAAAGTGAGGTAACCTGACAACTTTCATTTAATGACATTGTTGAACAATTTGCCGGATAAATATCCAGAAAATGTCACTTTAATTTTTAAATACATAACTAAAATATTAAATTCTACATTTCTATCACTTTTTTTTAATCAAAATGGCCCCAATTTTTAAAATGAATTATGGTATCTGGGGTCAGAGGCACAAAATTATTTGTGCCTCTGACCCCAGATACCATAATTCCGCCCCTGTCTATATGAGGTTAGATACTATCTAAGTAAACAAAATTTAATTCAACTCTATAAAGTTGAATTAAATTTATTGAATTGAATTAAATAAATATTGAATTGAATTAAATTAAATAAATGAGTAGTATACTACTCATTTATTTAATTTAATTCAATTAAAGTACCTCTAAAAGTATGTTACGAAATCATTACCATCGTCAAAAACATGCAATGCGTTTAAATATACTTTGAAAAACGTTTTTCTCATTCAAATATTTTATTTAAAAACGTTAAAGCACTTAACGTTAACGAACTCAATGTCTATAATAATTTATGTTTTATGTTTTGTTGTAAAAGTGAACAAACATTCTTTATTTTTTATGATCTTTTTACCCATAAAGTTATAAACAAATATACTTTACAAAATAATAATTTATTAATTGAACCCTTTTGTCAAAAAAAGTTTAATCAATTTTGCATAAACTATTGAGTTTCTTATTTATTGAATTAAGTTGTTGTTCCTAACTTTGATTTGTCAATTTCGTTTTCGGTTTTTAAAACTTTACTCTTTCTAGTGGCAATACATTAATATTTTTGAAATATAAAATTATTTTCACTCTGGATAATTTGTAAAATTATTTTCAGTCTTTGTTTATTCTACATTGTTAATAGTTATTAAATCAATTGTATTTTTATTATATATATATATATATATATATATATATATATATATATATATATATATATATATATATATATATAATATATATATATATATATATATATATATAAATATATATATATATATATATATATATATATATATATATATATATATATATATATATATATATATATATATATATATATATATATATATATATATATATATATATATATATATATATATATATATATATATATATATAAGCCTGGGTCTACTCAAAGTCGACAGCGATTATTTTTTACACCATAAGTCGACGTAAAAAATTTTCTTTTTAAATTCATTTTTCACTAACAGATGTAGCGTAGATTAAGAATTTGTATAGAAAAAAAATTTAAGTGATCAATTAAGCGCCTTTTTTAAAAGAAATAGAAAATTTGTCGACTTAGCGATTTTAACGCATGCACTTATATTTCAACTTGACGTCGTAAAATAAATTTTATACGCATATTTTAAAGTTTATTTGTTATTTTTACATATATTTTTATTAAAAAAAATTATAAAAACATAGAAATATTAAAATACAAGTCTATATATTTATTATTGTTGACTTGACGCAAGATTTACGAGTAGAATAAGTCTACTTATAGTTGAAAAAAAAACATATTATATAATGTCTAAATGTTAATTTTTTTTTTAAACTGGTCGTATATTATTTTAACTAAATAGTTTATCTATATTTTAAACAAAATTTATAATAAATATATCTTTATATTTCAAACAAAAAATGCAATCTCTTAACTATCGACCTATATGTCGTATATGTAACACGAGTAAATATACGCGCTTTTAAAAAAAGTTATTGTTTATAGTTTTCCGCGTTTTTCTTTGTTTATATTTTTCATAGAAATCTCTTGAGTATAATTTAGACATTTTAAATTTCCATTGAACTAATCGTGAATAAAATTCATTCAAACGTAAAGTCGACAGGAAATTTGTCGACTTATGAAAATTGTCGACTTGACGATGGTTATAGAGACATAGTTTGTCGACTTTGGACTGACCTAGTCTTATATATATATATATATATATATATATATATATATATATATATATATATATATATATATATATATATATATATATATATATATATATATATATTATATATATATATATATATATATATATATATATATATATATATATATATATATATATATATATATATATATATATATATAGATCTTTTGGATCTTTTGGATCTTCTTTCAGATACCAAGTTTATATATTGTTATATTACGAATAATAATTTTAAACCAAAAAAACAAATTAATTCCTAGGGAGCACTACAAGTTAAAATATTTTATTGGTTTCAGTAGCTTTGTATACTATATATTGTTTTCTGTTTGACTGATAACTTTTAAACCAGAGTAAGTTATTGTTTAATACTCCATAGAGTTCTAGTTTTTTTGTCAAAAAAAGAAATTTTGAATCACTACATGAGTCAAAATTTCTTTTTTTTCTAACAGGACTGTGTATTTGTATATCACTTGTTAAAGAAGAATTTCTCTTTCTTGTAGCAAAATAATAATCTATAGACTTTTTTAAGTGTTTCGCAATTATTTCGCGATTATACTGGATTCAGTGGCAGTTGGAAATAAACAGTAAGCTGGATCAAAAATCAAACTTTCGACTGGTTCTATAAACCTACGCTTTTTATCTGCACCAGTTCGATTGCCAGTTGCTGCAACACAGCTTGTCTGTTAAACAAGTTTTTAAAGCATTTTTTAAAAAGTCTCCCACCAATTTACATTTCTCCCACCAATTTAACTTTCTGCAAATGATATCTTTATCATTAGAGTTAATTATTTTATTTTCTAGTGAGTCAAACTCTTTAACTGAATTAGCTGGTAAATAATCTATATTAATATTTTCTTTATTACCATGATTAGTGTCTAAAATTGAACGCATGGAACGCATTTCTGTTTCCAACCCACAAAGTTTTCTGTACATGGCGTTCACTATAAATTGAAAGCCTTCAACAGTATTGGGTTCAACATTTGCTTTCCGAATAAAGTTATTTATTTGGTCTGTCCCAGTTTTTGAGATGGTAAAGAAAAGGAAGAAGATGAATGCAATAACGGTTGAACTTGTGAAACAGACTGCATTTCTGATGGAAACACTATCTGTGTAACAGGCAAGTCATCTACTTGATCCATTGAGGCAGAGACGGACAAAATGTTCTAAAACAAGATTAACAATGATTATAAATACATTCACAATATTCTGATTATAATATACTTTTTTTTTTATTTTTATTTAAAAATGGTAACTAAAAAAAGCAAATAAACCATAAAAATGAAACAAAAAAAATTATTATTTTTACAAATGGGATAAAATTTTAAAATGTATACTGAATCGGAATCAGGAAGCTTTGGTGGCTCCCACAATGGCAATGATGGTAAAGGAGGTTCTTCAAAAATGGATTTTTTTTTTCTCTTTCTGTTTTGTTGACTTAAAGGAGTTTTTTTGTGTTTTTTTTTTGATGTATTAAAATCAATTTTTACTTCTGATTCTGCAGTAAGAATATGCTAAAAAAAAAAAAAAACTTTTTTAATATACATACAATCGTAGCTTTATACAATATACATATCATAGATCGTCCAGGTAATATTTTAAAAATCCGGAAATTTGTTTGGGTTAAATACCCGGAATATATTTTATCTTATTTTCCTCTTATTTTTGCTTTTACCTGAGTTTTTTCTTTTTTTTTCAAACTTTTCTTTATTTTTTTATGAGTGATGAGTGAAAAAGCTTATAAAACAAATAGATGTATCTAAACTTGTAAGTATAGAAAATGTTTTAGATATCCAGAAAATTTTTACAAAATTTAAAAAAACTAATCAAGTCCCGTAAATATCTTTAAACATTAGTTTAATTTACAGACCAATGGGATTATTAAAAAGTAGTTTTCCCTACAAAAAATCATAATACATTTTTGAACAGGTATAACATTACAAACATGTGTGCGACTTTTCTGATAATATCCAATTCTAAGGACTTTTGATGAGTATGGAAACGTATACAGTGGTTTCACATAAAATAAAAGATATATGTAAACTATAGAGACTTGTGCATAAAATAATGGAACCATCAGCAATAGCAAAAGCACAATCTGGCGTATCATTAGAAATCTTTACAGAGTTTAAATGATTAGTAGTTACTGATCGAAGATTATTTAAGCGAAAAAACTGCATGTTGAAAAATATTTCTACCTGTTTTAATTCTTCTTCAATAAACCCTTCAATTCTTCTCTTCAACATATTTTCAAATTGAAATGCAGAAAATGAGTCCGAAGGTTCATATTTTGCTACAAATGAAGCTAGATGAAGTAACACATGCACATTATAAACCATAGATCTTTTGCTAAATAATATAGGCATAAACTTAACAAATATTTTATTACATTCAGATGCAATACCATGATAAGTAAAAAATTCATCAGAAGCCAAAACATACAAGCTGAAGTGCAACGTAATAAAATGGTCATAATACCGATTTGGCAATTTATCATGTAAGAAAAATGGTCCAAGATATAAAACAAACTGTCGAAACTCAGAGGCTTTTTAAAATTAACCAAAGAACTAAGTTTTCTGTGGAATTCTGATGGTAAATACTTTCTTATATAATCAATTTCAGCGTATAATTTTATGACTAAATGTTCTAAAAGTCTACAAGATAAATTTAGGAAAGGCACTTTAGTAAAATAATATGTACATAACTTTTTCACCACACCTTGGAGTACTAGATGTATATATTCTGGAGGACATGACTATTGCAGTCCACTTAATTGAGGAATATCCTAAAGAAGTGAAGAGCCATGCTGATTATTTTCTGATATATTTTTGTAACTTTCATCAGAACGGGGTGTACAATGCTGACCTGTAAAAATAATACGATTGTAACAATACTCACCTTTGATATTACAGTACCTACATCCGCAGTATGCATTGTGATTAAAAATATTTAGAGCAAATGAACGTTTAGGTGTATCGCAAATAAAGTCAACATCAGAAATAACCATTCGTAGTCCTTTCAAATCAAAAGGAACACTCAAAGTTTGCAATTCATCAACCAACTGTTTAAGATAAAAGTTCAGATTTGGCTTTTCAACACCACAGTGCAAAGCAACAGGAAGTACACCAATATGATTGTAATCTCTAAATGACATTAGAATTGGCCAAAAAGTAATTTTAGAAGATTTAAAAACGGGCAAACCATCTAGATTAAAAAATAGCCGGGCATTTCCATTCCAGTGAGTCAAAAAAAATGAAACTTTAAAACGAATATTTTTTTAATTCTGAAGATGGAACTCAAAAGAAGAAAAGTGATATTTTGATTATCCAAAAAAAAAAAAGATAGAAGGCAAATGTTTCTTCATGTTTTAATTATTTAGAGTTCGCAATAAATAAAATATTTAAGAAAAAAAGACAAATACATGTGATTATAACATTTAAAATTGATTTCATGACCAAGATGTTTTGATTCTTGAAGATAATGTCTTTTAATATTTCATTATCATAAATTGCAATTAAGTATCTTGGAGGTATCTAAAATTTTACGCCAAAGTGAACAGGGTTTTGAATTTCCGTGCGTGATTTAAAAGATCTAATTATTTAGAAAAATAAATGTTAAAAAGTTTCAATTAAAGTGATTTTTTTTACTTTGCGTATTGTTAGGTTACTGAATTGAATGGCAAAATTTTATTTTTTATTCTACAACATTTTAACGTTGTTTTTTTGCATCATGCACAGACATATTACGCACGGACAAAGATTCATCCGTGCGTGATAACTATTTTTCTTTAGCTTTACAACGATCGAATAGCGTATTTGCTAATTAATTAATTGAAGTAAAACTTAGTTAGATAGAAAACAGTTGCTTAAAAGAATTTAGAATTAAAATGGACAAATTTAAGCATTTAATAATTCAGAAAAAATTTAGAAAGAAACATCCAGAATATCGGATTGCTGAAACTAATCGATTGAAAAATAAAAGAGCTAATATGAGCTAAAAAGAAAAAGAGGAAGTACGTCAAAAAGATCGCGAAAGAAAGAAGCAAAAACGAGAGGTGAATTAATCTAGATCTGATATTGAACAACTCTTTTTATCTCCGCAGAGTTTTGGAAAGGCACTTAAAAAAATTAGTTTAGCATTACTTGCCGATTCAAACAAAAGAAAATAACTTTTAAAAGAAATTTGTAAACGTGAAAACATAATACTTTCTAATATTTCAGAATCAGGTCCTGACTACGCCCGTTTGGACAATGTTAATTTCAAAGTTCTTGATTTTTATTTGCGAGAAGATATTAGTAGAATGGCTCCAGGACGTAAAGATGTTGCTATTAATAAGAAAACAAAAGAGAAGGTATGACACATCGTTTATATGTAGGAATCGCATTTTATTTAATAAGCTTTTCGGTTTTTGTAAACAATTTTTGTTTTCTTTTAGAAAAAAATTCGTCACATGCTGATAACCGTAAGAGCATATTCACTTTTTAAAAGTGAGCATATTAATTTAAAAGTGGGCAAATCTAAGTTTTACGATCTGCGGCCATTCTATGTCAAGCTAGTAAACGATCTTCCTCACGATATTTGCCTTTGCATATACCATGAAAATTTCAGGCTGTTAACGAATGCCCTTCAAAAAAATTTTAATATTATGTCAGACATAGTTGGCAGATCTGTGTGTAATCAAAACAACCAATCTTGCATGTTTATGGAATGTAAAGCAAACTGTGGGTTTCCAAAGTTTGATGAATATGTTTCTTATGTAATAGACTCATTTGGTGACGATTCCAACAAACCGCTCTTTGTTTTTGACCAATGGTCCTCAGAAAACGCGCAGAAAATTGAACAACTACTAACATCTTTGTTAGAGGGGTGTGTATTACTGCGTCAGCAATTGCCAGATTATATACGTCATGTGTATATAAAGCGACAACAAAGTGCATATTTTCGTTTATGTCGCCAAAATGTATCAGAAAATGAATTGATTATACAAGTAAAATTGTAACTTTATTTGTAGTTAAAACTTAATAATTTTGTTATAATTTTTATAAACTTATTATTCATCCATTTATATTTTTAATTCTTCTAAAATTAGATGGATTTCAGAGAAAATCACACCATAATGGAGCAAAGTAAAATTCAATCTGCTTACTGGGTTCATCAGCAATTAACAGTATTCACGGCAGTAGTTATGAGTGAAAACAATACACATTCCTAAGCCATTGTATCCGATAGTTTACTTCATGATAAATATGCTGTCTTGTTCATTATCAAAGAATTATTAAACCGTTATCATAATATTTGTAAATTGGACTTTTTCACTGATGGGCCTTCATCACAATTTAAAAACTTTTATGTCATGACAGCCATGAATAATTTGTACAAATTATCATCTGATCTTCTTGAGATTCGTTGGTCATTTTTTGCAACATCACACGGAAAGGGGGCAGTTGATGGGATAGGTGGAGAAATAAAAAGAATGGTTTGGACAACAGTAAAATCTGGAAAACGATATTGTCGCAGTTTAGAAGATTTTGTGAGCATTGCAAGTGAAAAAAATACCAAAATTAATGTAAGTCATTATTTATAGAAAAAAACCTCAAAATAAAAGTTAAAGATAACAAACTTTTGGTTATTAAATTTTTATTTTTTTAGATCATCTCTATTACAAATGAGTGTATTACCGCAAAACAAAGTGAGATCGATGAGACGCTTCTCAAAGATAAGTTTAAAGTCAAAGGTATTCGTCGCCACTACTCTTTTCTTTTTAATATTGATGGTACTTACATGGCAATTTGTAACCAATCAGAAATGGTAAAATATGTTAAGAATTCATCATCTTCATTATTGATAAACGCGGTATCATCCCCGTCTGAAAGGTACAAGTTTGATACTATTTCTCCAGGTATATTTGTCTTTGTAGAATTGCGTTCTGATGGTAGAGCAAAGACATATCTTGCCAAAGTATTAGAAATTTTAGATAATATGGCACATATTAAATTCCTAAAAGAACAAAACGAACTTATTTTTATATACCCTTCTGTAGAAGACCTCTCCTGGCATGACTTGTGTGAGTTAAAACCGTTAGTACCACAACCACACTTTGATAACCGTGGACATATTATTGTCGAGCCGAAGTGTTAGCACTAAACATATTGTATCTTTCTTATCTTTAATATAGTATTAACTATATAATACATTATTTATTTTTAATATAATACACTTAAGTATTTGTTTTTAATCCAACGTGTATTAAATTAATTAGTATTGATATATATGCTATTTGTGATAGTCCCAATCGATTTATTTCCAAAAATACAATCCAAAAATGACGAATGTTTGCATGTTCCGTTCGTTATTTTTTTTTGTCCGTGCGTGATTTTGGTTGAAACTACTATTACAGAGCAAAGATACATCGTAGAATGCTGTAACTTTGTAAAAATCTTTAAAAATGCTTGTATAATTACCTATAAAAAACAAAACACTCGTCACTAATACATTTTCAGAGAAAATAGGATTCATTTAATAATTTTTTATTATTTGCTCTTTTCTGTTCCGTGCGTGACTCCATTAAAAAATTCATTTATTTTATAATGAAGCAACCCATAGCTACTATACTTTGTATAGATAATATATACATAGATGTCAATTAAATAAAAGTAAATCAGTGGTTACAAATTGCATTATTTTCAAAATAATTAATGCAACAGATGCAATGTTCCGTGCGTGATTTTTTGGAAATGCCCAGCCGTAATTTTACTATGCCACTGTTGCCATCTTTATTTTTTAAATTTAACTTTAAATTACGATGGTCCATGCAATACAACAAATTGTCTTTCACACCAATATATGACATTGAACTTTTTCCTTTAAATCTTTTTACCTAATTTTTAGACTGGTTGTAGGTTCCTGAATAGTGGTAAACTTTTATCATAATGGATGTTTAATAACTTTAAAAGAGCCTCCATAGCATTTCTAGTCAGATTATATCTTAAATAAAAATCTAAAAACTCTTGATTTATGTCGTAGCATTTTGATGTCATGCCTATGTCATCCTTCTTATCAGATGACCCACCTGAACTATTTACATCGTCAAACTCAAATGAAATATCATCATTACAACTTGCATTACATTCATAATCATCCCCCTTATCAGATGACTCATCTGAACTAATTACATTGCTAAACTCTTACGAAACATCATTAACATAAATTACATTATATTCATAACCATAAAAAATTTCATTTTCAACTGCTTTCATGTTAGCATCTTCAATAAAAAGATACTCTAGCATTTTTAAAACCTTTTCTTTTAATTACAAAAATTAGCTAGTTTTTCAAGTTTAGTTAGTTCTTCAAAATTATGTGATGTCAAATAAAGCGAAATTTTATAAAAATTTCAAATATATATATATATATATATATATATATATATATATATATATATATATATATATATATATATATATATATATATATATAAACTTAATATGTTTTGTATAGTAATTATTACCTCTTATATAAACTTTATTATTTATAGTTAACTGACCACGCCTATCTACCCATACCAACATCTTATTTCCACAAGTCCAGAAAAGTGGGCCGAAACTACAACTGTATAAAAAATTATCGACATTTCGTGCTAAAATATAGATAGCTAAAATAAAGTTGTGATATGAAGCAATCAAATAGCTATAGACGCTACTGTATTAGGCACTTCAACATTTTTTGAAAAAATGTAAAATGAAAACAAAACAAACTTCATTAGTTTGAACTAAAAATCAACAGTTAAAAAATAACAAACTTATCGTTTTATTATTATTAGTTGAAAATTGATTTAACTTTTAAACCACAAAATTAAAGCTTTTTGTTGTGTGACTTTTGAGGTTTTCAGCAATTTTAACGTTTTTAAGAATCGCATTAACATTTCCGTTTTCATACAAAAGCAACAATAAACAAGACCGTTATTATTCAAAACTAAGAATATAATACCAAAAAAACTTATAGTAAATGGAATTTCAATAATTAGGAAACAACCAACATTTGACATAATAAATCTGTGACAACTTTTTTTTAACATTTTATTTAATGGTAACGCAAAAAAGGGCTTTTAAAAATAATAAACTGATTTTAAAAACTCATTTTATAAAACTTAAATATCGTATAACAAAAAAATGACTTTAAAAGAACTTTAAATGACTGTTTAAATTAATATTAAACTGTTTAAATTAATATTATTTAAATAATATTTTGAATTTGAATTATGTACGAGTCAACTTTAGCCTCTATATTCGTTTTGTTAAATTCTAAATATTGTCAGTAGTGAGGAAAAAGCAAGTAAAAATATCTCAAAGTAACCCCCCAAAGTAACAAGATAGCCCAATTTTATTAGCCCTTTATTACTATTATGTAACCGGTTTACGGTAACATAATAAGAACTAAAATAAAAGAAGAAAATGCGAGTTAAATTATTAGAGTCCTATATATAGATCAAATAAATGAAATGTAATTACCGTTGCAATTTGGCCCATCCGTTTAGAGCTTTGAAGAAAGCTGTTGCATTCCGAAGGTTCATCTTTTATATGCCATTTTTGATATTGATATTTTTAAAACAATATGAATAGTAGAGTGGTAGTGCAAAAAAAGCAATATCGATAAAATTGTTGGCTATGTATAGTAAATTTGAATATGACAAATTAAGTCGTTAGTAAAATATTGCCCAAAATCATTAGTTGCATAACTGGTATTGCGTAATGCGGTATACTAAAGTATATTAATTAAAACTTCTAGACAGTAATTTCATGACACGCGTTAATGCGTTTTTAATCGAGAAAACAAAAGTATGCGGTATTTAGATTTTTTAAATGAAAAATAAACTTTATTATAATATTGAAATAGCCCAACTAGTTGGGCTATATATATATATATATATATATATATATATATATATATATATATATATATATATATATATATATATATATATATATATATATATATATATATATATATATATATATATATATATATATATATATATATATATATATATATATATATATATATATATATATATATATGACTGGATTGTATTTGGTAAATTAAAAAAATCATCCAGCCTAACCATTGTTATATATATAGATTTATTAAAAAGTGGCGGGATGGTTTATACTTTATAAAAAGGTGACGGAATGCCATCCCGCCTTACTTCGAGCACTGTATATATATATATATATATATATATATATATATATATATATATATATATATATATATATATATATATATATATATATATATATATATATATATGTATATATATATATATATACCCTTATAGTGTAGTCGAAAGAGCGTTTTAATGTAAAAAAAGTCTCTTACGACTACAATTTTAATTACCTCGTCTCTTACAGGGTTTATGCGAAATATAAAACATTTTTTAAGAAAATATAAAACATTTTTTAAGAAAATATAAAACATTTTTAAAGAAAATATAAAACATTTTTTAAGAAAATACAAAACATTTTTTAAGAAAATATAAAACATTTTTTAAGAAAATATAAAACATTTTTACAGAAAATATAAAACAAATTTTATGCTAAGATAAAACATTTAATTAGGTAATTAAATGTTTAATATTTTAACATAAAATATTCAATTACGTAATTACTCTATACTATGGAATTTATGTGGTTTATTCACAACAAAGAAAGAGATCTGTAAAAATATATTATTCAAGCTTTATTTTGTTGTTTTAAAATAAATGGAAAACAAGAGACAAAGAAAAAAAAGAACACTTATTACAAAGGATATTGTAAAAACAATAAGAAAGTCAATTCTTAAAGAAATGAAGTTAAAAGAAATTGCGGAAGAAGTTGAAATATCAGTTTCTGCAACACGTTCTATTTCTGATAAAATCTGTAAAGGACTTAGTGATGATGAAATCGCATCAGTAAAAAAAGGAAGGCGCAGCTCTTATGACGAGACACTTAAATCTGAAATTCGAATGTTAATTGAGCATGACCCATCTCATACGTTAGCATCATTGAGAAACATTCTCGTTGAAAGGAATATTAATGCATCTATACCAACAATATCTAAATATTTGAAGTCGATGGAGTTCACTAGAAAACGACTTACATTAGTACCAAAAGAAAGGAACTCGCCGCAAAACATTGATTTAAGACAGTTTTTGCAGGACTATTAATTCGATTCCTGACAATAACTTAGTGTTTCTAGATGAAACAGGCTTTAATTTACATACTTCTAAACAGTATGGTTATTCTATAAAGAATACAAAATGTTTTGTTACAATGCCAGCAAATCGTGGAAAGAATGTAAGTCTCATGGCCGCTATAACAGTTAATGGTATTTTAAGCTTTAAGATAGTGGATGGTGCCTATAATGGCAATCTTTTTTGCGATTTTATAACCAACAATTTAAGACCGTATTTCCAAACGTATCCCCATTCTGTACTAGTATTGGATAATTGTGCATTTCACCGTAGAAGAGATGTAATCAATTTGCTCAGCCAATCCAGTGTTTCAGTTTACTTTTTGCCACCTTATTCACCACAATTGAACCCGATTGAGGAATACTTTAGTTGTCTTAAAGCTAATTATACTTCTATAAGGCCGTTTCCAAAAACTAGCAATGAAGTTAAGGCTACTTTAAATTCGCTTATACCGACAATTGGCGTTGATTTTTGTGGTTGGTTTGATAATATGAGAAGATGGGTTTTGAAAGGCATAGCAAGACAAGAATTTTACTAAAGTGGATACTTTGCTTTTTATATTATATCTTTAAGTATAATGAGTTATAATTATATAAAAGATACTCTTTATTCTTTAGAAATTTATGAATAACTTTATGTATCATAATTGCACTATTGATTCAACTACAATGTTTTATATTTTCTTAAAAAATGTTTTATATTTTCTTAAAAAATGTTTTATATTTTCTTAAAAAATGTTTTATATTTTCTTAAAAAATGTTTTATATTTTCTTAAAAAATGTTTTATATTTTCTTAAAAAATGTTTTATATTTCGCATAAACCCTGTAAGCTGTTTTTGATTGTCATCGAAATGTCAAAGCAATTAATTTATGCGGAAGTACATTAAATTTAATTGTTTTTTAAAAATTTTTTAAAA